TAAGTCTATTCAGATATTCACTCGCACTGGACTTTTGTTTCTTGCAATGTTTGTTGCTATAAACCATACTTAAGGGAAATATTTTGCATCTCTGATGATTTCTCTTGAATCTTGGTTTTTCATTTCTGGGTGACAATTCAGAGCCATAGTGCAGCTTCTCCAGGTCCCCTCCCCAGCGGCCCTTGAGCACGCTCTTGTGCTTTTTACAGAGTGACGATCTCATAAGCCATTCGAGTCGTTCCCTTTCATCTGTACGTATCAGTCATTTACGGTAGATTCCTCTGGACTAGCTAACACGACGTTTGCCCGTGTTTCTGGCGGACCATTGATGCTTCTTATTCATTCAAAAGGGCTGTGTTGATGCTTAGATTTTTCTTTTTTTTTTTTTTTTACAAAGTAGCCAGCTTTTCTGGTGCCTTCTTCTGGCCTTCACTGTTGTTATAGCACCACACTGGCATAAGCAGCAGCCCGGGCCCCCTCGGCGCTCACAATGATCTGTGCTCTCTCCTCCAGGCGAGGAGCCGGCCGTGAGCAGCGACTCGGACATCTCGCTCATCATGGCCATGGAGGTGGGACTGTCCGACGTGGAACTGTCCGCCGACCAAGACTGTGAAGAGGTGAAGTCCTGAAAGGGTGACTCAGGAAGGCAGGGTGACGGGCCCCACGGGGAAGGGGGAGAGTGCCCCGCTCCTTGGGCTGGACGCCAGGACCCCAGGGCACGCTCGGGAACGGGCCCGAGGCCGTCTCCAGGGTCACGCTCGTCGGGCCGCTCTTTCTCCGTCTGTGCCACGGCCGGTGTCTCGCCCGGGAGGAGGCTGAGAGCAGCCCCCCACCGGGTCCTGCAGACCCTCCCACACCCAGAGCTGAGCGGATGCTTTCGATCTTCTCGGTCTTACCAGCTTCAGGTCTTGTCTTCACGTTTGGGGAACATTGTGGGACTTCTTGGCAGTTTAAGGATGAGGCGTAGTTTGTTTTACGTGCAGGCTTGTTTTCCCTGTCTCACCCCGGCTTTGATTTAGGAGACCAGTCTCTGGTCTGATCGGGCTTCTCTCCATCTCTGATGTGAATGGCCTTGACCTGTAGGCAAATGTGTACGACCTTGGGAAGTGCCTCGGCCCTGTCCTGGAGGATCCAAACTGTCCCAGTGGATCCTGAGAATCTCAGCTGCCAGAGACCCGCTCTGAACTCTGGTGTGCCCAGGCCACGGCTTGGCACGTTCGGCTGCGTGCACCGGCAGGCCTGGCCGGCTCCACGGAGGCCCCGGCCTCCCGGTCCTCTGGCTGAGGACTCCCAAGTCTCATCCAGGCCTGCACCAGCCTCCCTGGCTCCAGAGCTGGTCGCTGGGGCTGAAGCCCAGTTTTAGAACAGGGTCCCACCTATTCTCTGGACAGCGAAAATGTCGCGTAGATTTCCCAGAGGCCGTAACAGTCTCTGGTGACCTCCCAAAATAGACCCTGCCGGAGGCCGCAGCGTCGCAATGACTCAGCACCACGCAGCCCTCGCCTGTCACACCTGCCAGGCCTCCGGGGCCATGCAGGCGTCTGTGCGCCAGGCGGGCGCCCTGGGGCCTGATCGGTCCCCAGCAAGGCAGGAGGTGGGCTTCAGGAAGCCCTTGGCTCTAAAAAGTGTGAATCTGCTCAGTCAAGTTTCTCCAGACTGAAAGAAAAACACAGGGAAGGGAAAGAGGCAGCCGCTGCAGAGGGAAACCTGCCAGCAGCCCCGAGCTGCGTGTGTTCCCTGTAACGCAGCAGAGTTGTGAGGTTCTGCCGGCCGTCACCCAGACGCACGAGGACCAGGCAGTGGGGAGCGGCTCTCAGTCCTGAGACCGGCCCCTTGCTGCTGCATCTGGCCAGGAAAGCCAGCTCTGCTCCCCCAGGGCCCCGCACCACCGTCCGTGAGCGCATATCCCAGCGAGAGCCTGGGCCTCGGGCCACCGTGCTCGTGCTTCGCCAGGTGGCCAGCTGCCGGCTGATGGTTAGCAGTCGGTGCAGGGCGAGGAGGATGACCACCCGCTTCAGAAAGGGGGTGCTGCTCTTCCTGGGCGGGAGGGCGGAGTCTGGCGTGGGCAGGCAGGGGTGGAGGGCGTGCCCAAGCAGGACCCGGGCCAGACGGCACGCAGGGACGCAGCTTCCCTTGCCGTCAAGTGACGAGTTGCCCAAGGCTTCCTCTGGGCTCACAACCACAGGCAGCACCTTGCAGGGTGGGCGAGGAGGGGCTTTTGCAGAAAGTCTTGAGGGGTGCAGACACATGCCTCAGGGAGGCAGAATTACTTGCTGGGTGAGAACAACGCTCTGATGTCGCACTGCGTGTTGCTGAGGAAGGAAAGCTCAGTGCTGGGGGCCGGGAGCAGGTGGGAGCAGGCGGGAGCAGAATGGCTCACCTGGCCGCAGGCCCGCGTCTCTGATCCCTTCAGCTCCAGGTTCTCTGCACTAATGCTCGACTCAAGGAGCCCTTGGCCCTCTGCCCCCCTCTTGCCAAACATTCCAGCAACTTTTATATTAGGTCAAGCAGAACGACACTAACTCAGCATCAAAAGAAATAAATTATGCCCCCGCCCAGAGAGAAACGCCTCCCGAGTTGGAAGGCCCGAGGCTGGGCGCTCCCACTGTGTCTGGCACAGGACGCCACGGTACTGAGGGCCCAGGGCCTGCGGGTCTGACCCCCACACCCCAGCCCAGCTCGCAGCGTCTCCATGACCAAAGGCTGGTTCTGGAGGACTCCCTGTGGCTCTGGCACTAAGCAAAGTTAACTGGCACGCCAGTGGCCAAGACCAGCAGGAACAGCACTGATCCACGGTCCTCCTCACGCCCCAAGGAGAGACCTGGGTGGCAGGTGGCCCCGCCGGCCAGGCAGGATCTGCAGACAGCGTTTTCTGTCTGTCCAAGAGAAGCAGCATACAAGCCAGGCATGTATTTTTGCAAGCCAGGAGTGTATTTTCAATTTTTGACCAGCCACATTTTAAAAAGAAAAAAGCAGGGAAGAAAAAAGCTTTAGGAAGTTTTTCATGACTGCTGCAATGTGGAATCAGTGTGAGAAGTACAGCTGAAACACTTGTCTTTTTGTACAGTCGGGGTTTGCGCTCCCGGCACACCTGTGAGGCCCCCAGGCCCTCAGCACGCAGGGCCCTCGGCCAGCAGGCTCAGGGCAGAGCGGCCCCAGCCTCCTGGAGACCCCCTGCCCCTCGGAGAAGAGGCTGCATCACCGCCAGAAAGCGCGACTCACCCAAGTTGCCTAGTGAGAGGCCAGAAATGGGTTTGTTTTATAGAGAATAAATATTCAGGCGCCTCTGAAGTTCCAGCTTCGCCTTTCTGAGCACCCGCAGCCGTCGTTACTGTTTGTTACTTCTGACCAGTCCAGTGTGTTTGTACATCTCGAACACCATGTTGTTTTGGTGCTGAAGCAAAACTCTACCCTCCACGCCTAAGACAGGCCTCAGGCTGAGGCACTCAGGAGCCGGAGGGCAGCCGGCTGTGGTCAGCCCACTGGGCCGCTCAGGTTTGCCTCTTCCCTGCAGGCCGAAGCCCCACCCCGACCCCCAGGCCCCACCCCATACCTGTGCTCAACAGTGCACGGATTTGGGAGGGAAACACACCAGCTGGCCTGGCCTGTTACCACCCGCCCTGGGCTCACCAGACAGGCGGTCAGCCCCCTCCCAGCCCAGGCTCAGGGCAAGAACAGCGGCCTTTCTCTTCCCGGAGAAGAATGTGGGGTCCCAAGAACAGCTTGCTGCTCCCGTGGCTGGGCCGTGGGATGAGCTGACCCTGTCCGAGCCAAGCCGGCAGCCCAGTGTGGATGTAGCCTCCGGGCCTCGCCCACACGCTGCCGCCGCCGCCATTAGCTGGAAGAGGGGCCTGGGAGACCGCACGCGGCGCCAGCGAGCCCAGGAACAGCAATGTCCAGAGGGGCTCCCGATCGCCTGCTTCCTACACTGCCCTGATGCCAACGGAACGCCGAGTCCAGGCGCCTGGGCTGCCCCTCCGAGACCCCGCTGGCCGTTGCAGGGGACACCAGACCCCGCTGCGGCTGCCACACGCTCAAACAAAAGTGGAGACAGCCCAGGAGGAGAGGACTCCTGATGAGTTTTGTTTCGTGAAAATCCTTACGGAGCCTAAAAATCAACAAGGCACGCAGTAACCCACTGACCGCTTCCCCTGACTGAGTCAAGGCAGGCTCACCCAACGGAAGCTTTCAGAAGACCTGCGTGGACCCACCGCCTCCAGGGAGCCCTCCCAGACCCCCGGAATCCGCTCCCGGCCCCGCCCCGTCTGAGCGCCATACCTGCCTTTGCGGGTTGCCGGCGCCCCTCATCCCCCACCCCCATCCTGCTCCCACCTTTCAGGACGGGAAACCTCAGTGGCCAGGGGGCCAGACACCCCTGGGACCCCGCGTCCCTGCTTCGTGTGCCGGAGGCTGTCTGCAGCACTGGGCGAGGTGTGCACGGGCAAGGGCGTCCGCCCCTTCCCCCCACCCCCCACCCACCGCCTCGCGTGGACTTCACAGCAGTTCCTTAACACTTCCCTCGCGTCCTCGCCAGGAAAGGGGCCCAGGGGCCCAGAGGCCAGGGAACCCCGCGGACGTGCCTCCCTCTACTGCTGTCCGCAGGGCTGGGTCCTCCTGGGCTGGGCTGTCCAGCGTCCCCCAGTGACCATCTCAGCACGTGCTTGCCCTCTGGAGTGAGCCAGGAAGGCGCAGTTAAGGCTGAGAAAGAGACCCCAGGGGGGGCGCTGTCAGAGGCGCCTCTGGCCTACACTGCACAGGGCCACCCCAAAGGAGTCAGCAGGGAGGAAGGAGGTGGGGCAAGCTCAAAGACCCTGGACTCTTTCTGAATAAGCGCCCCCCAGGCCTGACTGGTTTGGGGGTGGGGATGTGCTTTAAAGGTAAAATACAAGCATAAAGAAAGTTGGGGTCACCTGAAAACGATGTCATTCTGGGAAGCAGGTAGAAGTGGCCCCTCATCTGACCTCCTCCCTTTCCCCTTTTTTCTCATCTCACAACTGCAGTCTTTGGCATTAGGCACAACAGCCGGCGAGGACCCAGAGACCGGCGGCCACGCCCACGCGCTTGGGCTTGCGGACTTTTGATGGCGCTAAATTCTCCTGGAAAAGCGAAGGTGATTCCAGGTCCTAGGTGCAGACCTGGGTCGTCGAGGCCTTTCGTTGCAAACCCTGCCGGCTCTGAAGGAACCTCTGGGCGCAGTCTCTCTGCCGCCTCCAGGGCTTTCCCTGGACCGCGTGGACAAAGCCACCCCGCCCACGCTGCTGTGAAGAGCCGCTGGCTCGGTGCGGCCTGATAAACCTGTGAATCAGGGGCACACAGACATCTCTTGAGACGCCCACGGGTCCAGCCAGAGCCCGGGCCAACAGCCATGGAGAAGGAAGCCGCCAACTCAGGTGCGTCAGCCCCAGTTACCAACGTCACCGAGGCTGCCCCCGACCCGGGCGGGGGTTCCCACGGCAGGACGACGCGTACCATAGAAACCAAAGACGGATCGCCAGCCAGGGGCGCCCCGCCTGCCCTGACAGCGTGAGCTGCTGGCCCCTGCATTTCTCATGCAGCGAGGGCGGGTCGCCCAGTCCATCAGAACTATAAAAAGCTCCCCCAGGCGCCTCCGCGGGGCTGGCGATTGACCTCACCGAATCCAGAAGCTGGAACACGAATGTCCTGGGGTGTCTCGCACCACGGCATCCGCAAGCCAGTGTTTAGCCCCCTTTCCCTCAAAAGTTTCAGACAAAATTCAGCAAACTGTTGAACACAGAACCCTGTTCTCTTTGAGAATGTGAAGATTTGAAGTAGCCAAAGAATGCGCACCTGTAAGAGCCAGGTAGTTACGGCCACCCCGTGCAGGGAGGCGGCTGTGGCGCACTGAGGCACTGGTGCAGTCCCACCCTGGCCCTGCCTCTGGGGCGCGGGCCGCGGGCCGCAGGTCAGTGCGCGGGCGCAGGGCGCCCTCTGCTGGGGATCGCAGGGCGCACGCAGCGAGCGGGGTTCACCTTCCACTCCCGCATCTTCCGCCCCCCACTTGCCTGGCCTCCCTCCCGCAGAGTCCTCAGTTGAGAACTTGGTCCACGTTTATCAGAAGAGAGAAAGTGTCACAAACGGATGGACGGCGGCCCCCACTCCAGCTCTGCTCGCTGTCGGCAGCCCCTGGCTGGAACGTGGACCTGACGCTCCCCGCTAGGGCGGGTGGTTTTGTAACTTAACTTTATTCTGTCCAGTAGCCAGGAAGGTCACTAAACAAGCTTCTTTCATATGAATGTAAATGGTGTGAAATACGGACATGTTTTGTACATGTACATAATAATATATTTCCTTCCTGCTTTCACATTAGAAAACTGAAATGGTTGGACCGTTTTATAATTAGAGATGAGGGGGGGCGGGGAGGGGCTGCTATTTTTATAGTGGGGTGTCCTATTGAAGTAATTTTGTACTTGTGAAAAGTTACATTCCATTCATTTCCTGAAAAAAAAAAAAAAAGTGGGTTTTGTCCTTTAACACGGTCACGAGCTGGGGGCGCAGTTTCTAGTGTCCACAGGAACCCGGGCTCTGCAGGCTGCGGGCCACAACCAGCAACTGCCAGTTCAAAATGTGGAAAGAAGAAAACCCAACTTCTTTTCGCCCCTCCGCACACCGCGCTTCACCTCCCGAAGAGATGCCTCCCCCGAGGCCGACTGCGCCCCGGTGTGGTCAGACGCAGGCCCTGCCTGCGTCACTAACCTCCCCACCAGCGGGGAACCCGCAGGGGGCACACGGATGCCACGGCCACCGCTGGGTAACTCGGCAATTGGACCCTGGTTCCTTCTCACTGCTGACATATACTGGACCACATCGTGTTCTGGACAAAGTCACTTACTGATATCAGCACAGGGGTGTCCCTGCTTTCCCTGTACAAATCTCTTTCCTCCCCTCAGGCACCTACCGACTCCTTCCAAAGCACTTTACCGCTCTCCTGAAATCCAGCTGCCTTTATCGGAGACAGGGCGCTCACCTTGCTTTGTTCTGCCCGTGGCTTGGAGGGCAGCGCTGGCCTGACACCAGGAGACCTTCAGGGCGACAGTGGCACACAGTCCACAGGACACCACTGGGCTATTTTTGTTACCTAGGAGACTATTGTGTAAATAAGTGCAATCGTGTTCTTATGTACCGGTTTCAAAAATTTGCAACTATTAAGGTTTGACAAAAATTGTGAATTCCAGGAAATTTCTTTGCAAATTTTGTTTGGTTTTGTTTTTTAATAAAACGGAATCCGATATGCGTGTGATGCTTATTTCCGCGCTGCGTGGGCTGCTGAGGTGGCACTACGGCTTGTAATGGGTCAGCATTTATTAAATAATGACTATGTTGAGAGAGTTTAAGAACTTTTCCCCTTCTCTCTGGTCAGTGCCAGAACAGCCCCGAGCCCCCAAGTGAAAGGATCCGACACTGAAGCAATTCAGAGGCTGAGCTGCTGAATTAACTTGAGAACAGCTGTTCTCTGGGAGCTGGGGCTGTTCTGAGCTGTCTGGCGCCAGGTCCCCCAAGCCCGGAACCCGGAGCCAGCTAGGTGGGCTGGGTGGCCATGTCCTTTTTATGTTTACATGTCCGCAGTGACAGCTCAGCACGAAGGGGATGCTGAGCAGATAAAAAAGCTGGTGGCTGCCAGCCTGGGAGGGTGAGCAAGGAGAGACAATGCCCCCTTCACGGCTTCTACCCACTAGACGCTGCAGGCCCCTGGTGGGTCAGAACCTTGTGGGCTCCAGGCTGCAGCAGGCTGGGGGCGGGGGGAGGGGGTGAGGCAAGGGGACTGGGGGCATGGGGAAGTTGGGGGGCAGAGGAGCTGAGGCATGGGGGGCGGGGGGCCCCTGGGAAGTTCAGCCCTTAGTGGAATCTATCCCTGGCCAGGCAGTCTCTGGGAACTGAATCCACACACGTGCTGGCAGATGTCAATCGGCAATGGCCGAGGCCTCCTGGCCTTTCCCACCAAGATGCTGCCACCACATGAACAGCACTGGGCTTCGCTCTGGGCCTGTCCCTGCTGGACAGTCAGTAGAGACAGGTAGCAAGAGCACCATCTGCAACAGCAGCAATGGTGCCTGTCAGGTTCTGTCACTTTCAGCTGCTCACCTGTCATCAGTAGTTAACTTGGGGGGTGACATAACCCAGGATCTAGAAGCTTCCTCCTGGTTCTGGCAGCCACAGCCTCCCTGGAGACCAGGGATTCCCAAAAGGGGAGCTGTGTCCTGGAATCAC